ATTAAATATATATTTTGTTGGAAGGATCATTTGCTATAAATTGATTATAATTTATTGAATCCAATATCTTTTGTAGAATCATTTTGCAATTCTAAGATATGGATATTTAGTTGCCTTATAAATATCAACTTATGCTTCGGAATAATCATCTTCTTTTACGAAATAATAAATTGTTTTTATGAAAAAGCCCGAATAACAATCTTTGAATGCTTTAATAGATGAACTAAATCATAATAACTTCATTTCATCACTTATATTTCTCGATTTCTAGTTCATTTTATTTAAAGTTGAATTGATAAAAATTTTGTTTTGATTTAATGACAAAAAATGCTTTAAAAGATTTTTATTAATAGTAATTTGCAAGTTTTACCTTTACAAAAGATTTTTGTTTGACTCTTTACATAATAAAAAATGCAACTAGTTATAAAAATTGTAAAAGAAAAGGGAAGAAAAACGATAGTAAAGGATAAATTGAAGACATAAAAAAAAATTGTAGAATCAGGGTAACTTCACGATAATTTTCCAGTTACTATAAAAACTAAGAACGGGGACCCGGAACGATCTTAACTAAAAAAAAATATTTGCAAAAGCCAATCAGCATCGACTCATTTATTGAGCGCATACATTTTGCGTAAAATTATATAGTCCTTCGCTACGCTCCGGACTAATAATTGGCAAGTTCAAATGTATTAAAGGATTGTAAAGAAATTTAGATAACGGGTTTCTTGAATGTAAGAGGTTAAATGCATTGCGTATTATTATCGTTACAACAAATTTCCATTGTTGAATTATACATGTATTATATCATTGATAACGCCTACATCCAGCTTTACTAACCAAATCAAATCAAAATCATAAATCTAAATTACAAACGATTATCGTTATAAAAATAATTACAATGCTTGCCAAGGATGGGTATTAATTAATAATTAACCTACATTCATTAAAAATAGCCACCAACCATCTAGGAAATGCCACATAATGAGCCACGATATCTTAATATAGGTAAATTTTACTCTTCTACATCAAGTTAAGTTTTAATAAAAATTAATTGATGATATCATTGGTCATAATGCTACAAAATATTTCTTACTTGTAAAGTATTAGTGTGCGTAGAAGGTTTGCATCCTATTAGATCACGAATAGGGGGTTTAGGTATCCTCCTATTACGTTAACCTGTTTGTATTTAACGAATGAATGCTGTATATGATGATCTATTTGCCTAACTGATTTTTACGAAAAATATGACGAAATTGGTAAAACTTGGTTAAATTCAAAAACCCGAAAATAGTTAAACCAGTATAGGGCGATGAAAATTAGTTTTCGAAAAGAAACGTGAATTTAGAGAGAAGTTTCCAGTTCTAAATTTCGAATCTCCAAGAACGAATATCTTATTTTTAAACGTGAAACTCTGTATGTAAGTAAATTTATTTAATCGGTAATCATTCGATTTGATTGATGCATAAATTATATGAAAATTAATTATGCGGGCATTTTTTTTTTTTTTTCATTCATATTTCACCTATTTTTAAATGATATTGTTCAATTTGTTTCAATTTAGCTACCACTTTAAGAGAAAAACCGGTTTACAACGCATGAAATAATAATCACGTGGATTCAAAAGAGATTTTGACTGATGCAAAATATCCTTTAAAAATTAATTTCTTTAAACGAATTGATTCATGTGTAGGTAGAATTTTTAACAAAGAATTATTTACAAAGAATCGACAAAATCGGAGATTTTTTTTTTTTTTATTTCCTTGAATAATAAAACCTTCTCCACAAAAGAAATTTTCCATCGAGATAAATAAGATGTTGACCCTGTGATAATTAATTTTGATTTGATACATGTTTTTTTTTATCGTTTCAGATTTTATTTTTATTTAATTTCTTAATCTGATGATTAAATTTAGGTAAAACGAACGCAGGTGTGAAACGGGAAAAGGATCATCTGTAACAATAACATCTTTAATGCATTATCTACCATACTATTAATCATGACGCAATCAAATCTTTGGTCTTAATTTTTTTTTCCAACTTTTTAATGTATGCCATGTCGCACACTACGTTTATAATAGTTTTATACCAAAAAAGTCAAAATTTAATTAACAAGTAAATATTGTAAAATTTTCTTATGACATATAAACAATTACGGGATTTTTTGTTATATGCACGCCTTTTTCAAGTCCGAATTGGGAGGATAAAGTGAATAAATATAAATAATATAGAGTGATCGGGTTGGTTACATAAATTATCAGGGAAAATGAAAAAATATGTTGTATTTATAGGTTTGAAGGAGAAGGGGATTATTATTAGAATATGATCTTGTTATTTGATAAATTTAATATGCAAAGATTTTTAGGTTGCTCTCATTCGTGAATAGATTTTTCCTGATTGCTTTATAATAAATAGTACATACGGTAAAACGTTCACATATAATAAATATTATTGCATGCATTTAAAAAAAAAAAAGGTAAACCGTCGGGAAAGCAAATCAACATATCATGCAGATCGGAAAGCACCGAGGAGTTGACCTTTTCATTTGTAAATCACGTGTATTCATCCGAAAAGTTCTAGATGACGAAAGAAAAACCAAGCAACGCTAAAAAGCATGACATCATTGTGATTTCAAGGAGGCTGTGAACATGGTTCCGCCACTTTCAAACGATGGTTTTTACGTCACTGCCAAGGAAAATTAACTTTTTGCTCTTCGAAATATATTTTTGGGCCCATAAGTTTGCATGATAAATATAATTCAGGAGGCTCGGGGCGTTTTAGCAAATCTCAACTTTCTTATTAAATCTATTTTTGTCATCTGCTAAAAATATTTATCAAAGTACCGCGTGTATTAAATTGATTACCAAATCTGGAAGAGTTTTATGCAATTAATACAAGTATATATATAACAAACAAAAAAAATATAAATTGTGTTTATTATTTTTCTTTTTTAAAAAAAGCTCACCTTTTTTTTATAAAGAGAGTTTCTTTGAGCGTGTGACCAACAATACACATATTTACTCTTTAGCAAACGAATGAGATTTACGTTCAAAAAAAGGATATTCCGAACATAATTGTTGTCATTCAAAGCACATACATAACACAGCATTAAAAAAATTTCTTTAATTAAAACAAGTACCGAAAAGAAAAAAAATAATAAACAAAAAAATTTTTCATACTTGCTCATCATCCGTTTGGATAATCATATATAAATTCAACCAATTCTCCTACAACTGATTCCTTCACCTTTTTTTTTCTTTGAAATTTTAAATAAAATTTTTCGAAAAAGGTGAATTTTTGTTACGAAGAAAAAAAAAAGTGTATAAACTCTAAAAGGTTTCACAAAAAAAAAATTTTATAACTTCCCCTAAGTCTTACGAAATAACTTTTATCTTTTAAAAAAAAAAAAAAAAAAATTCAAAATGTTCACAAACATTCACAATTATTTTACTCTTATGAACTATCAAAGTGATATAACTACCGCTAAATCGCTTGAACCATGGGAAAAAGCTTTATTCAGTAAGTGATAAATTTCATATCGCGAAGAAAATTTTTTTTAAAAAAAAAAAAAAAACTTGCAACCTTCAAAAAACTAACCCTTAAAATTATTTCTTTCACTCATGATAGATTCATGTATTATCGTCGGAATAACGCTTCTTACCTACACAACATTCGCACATTCGAACAATATGTTTTTAACGAATCTTGATACAGACTTTCATTCGTCGTTATATTTATGATTTGATATTACGTATATTAATTACAATTATAAAGAACAATTAATTATAAAAAAAACTATTAATCATAATTAAAAAAAAAAAAAATCGTTATTTTTATTTCAATGCGCGGTGTATTGAATTTAAAATGACATTTCGATATTTCTTTCAAGAGAGTGTTTAATGTATTATATTTATCAAAAATTCATTCGGTTTTAATGTCAGAGGAAAATTATATTGGCTTTTATTCTGTTAAAGTAACATTTAATTAAATATTTTTATTTTTAGACATTTTTAATTTTTTATTTCAATTTTGAAAAAAAAACATGTAGATTTTTCACTGTAGAAATTTTTTTGGGTGTTATTAATCATGTAACCAACAAATCTTTTTTTTTCTTTCCTCTATTTTTTTAAAAAATAATATAATCAAAAAAATCATTATAATGGTGATTTTATTTTCTACTAAGAAATCAATCAATTTAACATAATCTATCACGTGTTTGACGGAAAAAAATTACTGTGCCGATTACGAACAAAGTTGTTGCTATGTTGTAAAACCAAAATATATTTTCAGCTGGTAAATTTCTTAATGCAAGGACAAATTAATTAATGTAACCAATCCATGAAATTTTCTTTGTCTAATTTAATAACAAATAAAAAAAACATACATTGCTGTTTTTTGATTAAAATTTTTTCCGTTCACCAAATTTTTTCTTTGGACCCAAAATTTTATAGTTCACCAATCAATTGAAGCACGTGATCATTAGATCAAAGAATTCTATTTTAATGAATGATTTAACGGAAATCCATTAAGTAACATCTTTACTGTATATGGTTATGATCAATTATTTTTAATAAATTAATTAAAAAATATTGCTTACCTATTCAAAAAGTTGTTTAATGATGCTTGCCCATTTTCGGGTTTTCCGAAATCTCTCTGAATGGTTAAAGTTTTGGATGTTTTAATTTCGGCATTTCCGGCAATTTCGGGTTTCCCAATATTCCTCTTTTATTGTTATGAACATTAACTATTTTTAATAATTAAATAGGTTTCATTTGGTTAAATTCAGTAATATAGGATAGTCATTTTGTGAATTAGCAAACTCATTTCAATTTACGTTTGATTTAGTAATTCTGGCCTGCATTAAAAATTATGTTGACCAGCATTTATAATCATACAAATCTTTACAGAGATCATCAATAGGTACTACTGTATATAGTATGAATTACACTTTTATCTTTTCACCTTTTATTAAATATCATATGATTTATCAATTGTCATTAAAACTAATAATTTAAAATATTTAGAACATCTTGAAAATCGAATTTGAATCGCCAGACTATAAAAACGTGTCCTTCATCATGACAATTTTATAATTTTAATTTTAATTGAGGAATATTATAATATAATTTAAGACTATCTGGATTAGCAAGAACACCAGAAGGAACAACAGTTTCACCGGAAATGATTTTTTTCACGGCAACTTCAACTTTTTTACCATTAACAGTATACTATAAAAAAATGAAAATGTTAGTCATTGTTAACCTAATATGGATCATTTTGAATGAGATAGAGACAATAAACGGATTCGCAACGCGATTTTTTTTTTTTTTTTTTTTTTTTTTTAAAAAAAAAAGGGGCTTACCGGAATGTCATCAATAGGTAAGATGAATGACGGAACATGCCTAGGACTTAATTGATCCCTAATTTTTTTCTTTATATTTTCAACTAGTTGTTTATCACACTTTCTTTCCGCATCCATTTTTAAAAATAATACAACGCGTTCCTCTCCCTTATTATTTGAACCAATTTTTTGTCCAACTACTAAACTATCTATTACACCTTCTTTCCTAAAATCTTTATCTATTACATTATATATTTCAGCGCTACCAAATCTTACACCACCAGGATTAAGAGTCCCATCACTTCTACCCAACATTACTATCCCACCTGTATTAGGATTGATAAATATGAAATCACTGTGATACCATACTCGGTTATAAGTTGTAAAGTATGCTGAACGATATAAATCATGTGAAGGTGTGTCATTCCAAAAGTAAATCGGCATACATGGAAATGGTACTGTACATACCAAATCTGCTGATTCCGCAGACACAGAATTACCTAAAGTATCGAAGAAAATGGAGAACAAAATTAAAAATTTTCTTTAGCTAAAAAAATTTTTTAATATTAAGGCACATTACCTTGACCTTTCCAAGCTTCGACTTTCATACCTAGACAAATACATTGTATTTCGCCTTTATAAACAGGTAATGCGACATTGTGACCAGCAAATAAAGAACAAATATCTGTACCGCCTGTAATGCTGCCTAGCACTAAATCATCCTTAATTTCTTTATAAACGAAATCAAAACTTTCTGGTTTAAGAGGTGATCCTGTCGATAATATCATACGAAGTTTTGTCAAGTCATGACGAGATTTGGGTTTATATTCTACATCTTGTAAACTTTTTATGTATGTTGCCGATGTACCAAATATCGTTATTCTTTTGCAGTGAAGAAGTGATATATATATATTTTTTTTTTTAAAAAAAAAAAGGTTGATGAGAAAGACAACTTATCCGGAAAGATTTGAAATCGGTTCGCTTACCCTAATTGTTCAGCTAATTTCCAAAGAATAGCAGGAGAAGGTTTAAAAGGACTACCATCATATAATACAATACTACATCCAACACTTAACCCGGAAACTAACCAATTCCACATCATCCATCCAGTGGTAGTATAATAAAAGAAAACATCATTTTCTGTCATATTACCATGTAATATATGTTCTTTTTTGTGTTGAATTAATAGTCCACCGGATCTATGTACTAAACATTTTGGTTTCCCTGTCGTGCCCGAACTAAAAAGGATATAAACTGGATGGTCAAATGGTAGTTGTTCAAATTGTATTTCTTTTTCTTGTGCTGCTTCTCTTTCTCCTTGTGATATGAAATGACTCCAAGAACACGCTAAAGGAATACCCTTAATCTCTTCTCCGATTTTCCCTACAAAGGGAATGATAATAACTTTCTCTAATCCCTCATCCTTTAACTTTTCGACCACAACTTTTAACTTATCTAGATGATTGTATTCTTTTTCATTATATATTATAGAATTAACAGAAAACAATATTTTAGGGTGAATTTGACAAAACCTATCTAATACTCCTGTAACACCAAAATCTGTTGATGTACTACTCCAAATTGCTCCTATACTTGTTGTTGCTAACATTGCTATTACCCCCTCACAACAATTCGATATATATGCACCCACTCTGTCTCCTTTGTTTACTCCTAGTTTACGTAATGCTTTTGATAATTTGTTTACTTGCACGTATAATTCGTGATATGTCATGTTCGTTAATGGTCGCCTCTCGCCTAATCAACAAATTAATCAGATTGTAAAATTTTAGACAAGCGAGGAACGGAATTGGTCAGAAAATTGAAATTTCTTTTGTTTGTAAATAAAAACCTGCGGAAATTATTGCAATTTTATTTCTATCTCTACACCATAATAAATTTTCTGCAAAATTAAGTCTTGCCCCTAGAAACCACGCTGGTATTTGATCCATAGGTTTATCTTCCAACACCTATTTCAACATAAGATATAAAAATACGCAGTACGACTATGAATTGAATGAAAAACTTTCTTACTTGTCTGTAAGGAACCGAGTAAATTATCTTCGTATAATCCCATACTTCTGCCCAAAATTCTTGAATATTCTCAACCGACCATTGCCACAGTTGTTGATAATTCTCTAGAATTAAATAAATAAATTTATTTATATATATACCAATGATTTTAAAACGCCTAATTAAAATAATGAGTTGAAGATATTTTAGGTACCTAAATTAAGTTGATATTTCTTATTGACTTTGATACGAAATTTTTCGATTTCTGTATTAGAAGTATCTTTTGGTCTCCATAATTCCTCGGGATGTAATAGAACTGATGTGGACATTATCGTTTACTATTTAAATTATTAAATTATAATAAGAATATTTCGATTCAAATAAACAGAGAAAATAATTATTCTTCGAGTAAGTAGTTATAATTATCATCATATCAATTTTTTTAAAGAATGAATTTTGCACCCTAAATCATTGATCAACGCCACAACTATATTTATAATGCGGAATGTATAATAATATGATTTTGCTTATTAAATTCGTTAAAAAATTGCAATAATAAAATTTTTATATTCAATAAGAAATTAAAAACTGTTTCAATAAATAATAATTTTAGATAAGACTAAATAAGACAGACTTAAGACTTGAATTAATTAAAACTAGTCATAATATTTTCATTTATTAAAATAATTTAATTTTAATAAATACTATGAAGAATTCTTAATTAAATTATTAATATCAAATTTTTTTCATTCTTATTATTTTTTTAAAAAAAATAACTAACTCTTAAAGACATTTTTAAGATAAAAATTATAATTATTATATAAATCAACAAGTTTAAATATTTATTTAGCAAAAAAAAAATAAATTATAATTGAAAAGAAACTAATAATATTAAAAAAAAAATAAAAAATAAATGCTATTATATATCATAATCTCTGTGATTTAATAGAGTATATTAATTATGTTATAAATAGTCCTGTTAGTTTTGATAATTTTAAATCCTGAATTTGTAACTTCACTTTTATAATAGGGGAGTTGAAGAGATATTAAAACTAAAATAATTTGGTATTTAAATAAAGAAGTTTTAATAATTTACAAATATTTATAAATAAAAAGATAAATAATAATAATTCTAATTTTTCAATTATTGTAAATAATCAAAATGATAAATTAAATAATTATTATAAATTATTTATATCATATTTATATAATTAATTAATTATATAGTTAATATATTTAAATAATTATTTATTTTTAGTAGAATTTATAGATACTTATAATCAAAAAAAAATAGATTAATCACTTATAATAGTTTTAAAAATAATGTATTACCTTAATTATTAATTGTTAATTATATATACTAATATTAAATCTAAATTAAAAATAAATATAAAAATAATATCATATCATATAGGAAATTTTTTAAAAAATCAGATTATGAGAAATTTTTGATTAAAATTATTTTAATCTAATAATATCAAAAACGAAAATACAATAAATATTTTAATTTTATTAAAATATTATTTTTCTAACAATCAATCTATATAAAGGTAAATTTGTCAGAAATATAAAAAAATTAATGCTAAAGCTGAACATATTTTAGTATATTTTAGTCTAAAAATCATAAAAATAATATTTTTTTTTTGGTAATTTTTCTTTTTTTCTATTGCAAAGATCTTATATAATATAATAAAAATATAAATTTTAATATAAGTTAATTAACTAATTTTTTAATTAGATGATATTTAATTAAAAACTGTTAATACATTTTTTTGAATTTTAATAAATTAAATTTTATTAAATTATTTATAAATTAAATAATAAATAATAGTTTAAATTATATTAAATTATTAAATAAGATTAAAATTTACTAAAAAGATTCTAAGTTTAATAATAAAATTATACTTTTAAAATATTATATAAATCAATTAAATATTAATAAATTATATTAAATTACTTAATAAATTGATAAATTATATGTAAAATATTTAGATATTTTAAAAAATATAATATTTTTGTAACAGATCTGCAGGTTTGACTAATTCAATAAACTTGTATCAAATATAATGATATGATATTTTTTAACTTTATATCATTAATTAAAAATAATATTTAGTAATAAAGACAGATCATTATATAATTTTTGTAAATTTTAGAATGATAGTATTTATGATACAATTTCTTAAAATTGTCTTACTAAAATCTGCAATTAGCATAATTGATAATACAGTCAACTCTTAATATAGCGAACTCTTGATATAACGAATTTTTTGAACAAATATAATAAAAATACTCTTGTTA